TTTCAAATAAGAAATATCGTTATTGAAATGATTAAGCATTAATATAAATAAAAGAAACAATTAATTTTATTTCAATTTAAATCAAATACTATTTATAGAAAATTGGTTGATTTATCAATTATAAATATAAAATTACAAGATTAATTAAAGAAGAGCATAAGACATCGCGAGGTTGAAACCCCTAGATTGGAATTTGGGGATTAAGCAAATTGTTCAAGAGGGAGTGTTGGAGTTTGATCATTCGCTCAATTCTGCACAAAAGAAAAGTGAAATCAGGAAGAAGAAGTTAAAGATCGATTGAAGAAGAAACCTTAAACCAAAGAAAAAGAAGATGTCCGGGACATTATGATCAAGTGGTAAGAAGACGGGACTGGGATGCCAACATGTTCTAGGTTCGATCCACCTGCTGCGCGAAACTAAATCACATTGTCTTGGACACCCACATGGATATGGGCCCTTGCTTTCAACTCATTTGCATATCCGAAAAGAGGGTCTATCCATGGGCTGCACCTTCCCTAGTGATTAGTCTGGGCCATAGGCCTAGAATTTATCTTCACTTATAAAAAAAAATGAAGAAGAAGATATGATTAATGAAGAGAATAAGACAAAGTTAATAAAGCATGTGCACTGCATGTGATTTGAGAAAACAAAAAAAATCGTTGAATTAGAAAATTACTTCTTGTAATTTGGGAATTATTTGGTTTTTCCTTTATAGTTTAGAGAATAAAGCAGTTTCCTTTGTGCAAATTTGTTAAGTCTTATATATATGTGTGCTTAGAAGAGAGAATAACTAACCAAAACATCCGATCAATAAACGTTTTTTCAGAATTCTAGTTTCATACTTTTTTCTTTTGATTCTCAAAGCTTTTACGTTTCTCTTTTGTTTCAATGACAATTCCAACAGCGGCAATGTCGGAATTGGGAAATTCTACCGCGATTTACCATAGCCATCGAGGAGCTGCATTGTCGGAATTGGAAAAGATTTGGGAAGCTGTGAAAGAGTGTGAAAAAGCCATAAACTTGGATCCAAAACTTTTCATAGCTCATAACAATTTAGCCTTAGTGCTTCTTAGGTAAACTCAATTATTTGTTTCTTGATAGAGAGAGAGTGTAAATCTTGATAATTTTCGAGTCTTTTGATTTGGTTGCAGGTTAGGTCAGGTTGATAATGCGAGGAAGCATTCTGTGAAGTAACCATCGGATGAAAACTTTTTGGTGATGCTTAAAAACGTAGAAAAACACTTGAAAAAATGCGCATATGCAAGAAGACGCGATGACTGGAACAATTTTTTTAATGAAGCAAGTGCAGCTATGGTGTATGGAGTTAATTTGTCTCCTCAGGTAAAAGAACAAAACATTATTGTATTATTAATCCGAATAAAAACGTTAAAAGTATTTTTATTTATTTTCACAAAATCTGCAGCTAGCTATATGTAAAGTTGAAGCACTAATGAAACTCCAATGGCTTCATGAGGCTGAAAAGGTACTAGCACATGTCCCCAAAGTAGAACCATTCCCAGCCTCTTTCTCACTTTCTCACAAACTCGGTTCTTCGATATGATATGTGAAGCTTACACATATTTTGTCAAATCTCAAGTGTACTTTGCGCTAGAAAGGTGAGATTTTTATATATAGACCTGTTAATTTGTTACATGTTTATTTTTCTGTTCATGGATAAAAAAGAGAGTAACTAAAGAGTTACATGGTGCAGGTTTGAGGATGCAGCTGAAGCTATAGATAAAAGCTTTAAAGTTTGATCCACATACCATTGAAGTTAAAATTTATAAAAAAATTGTGAAACTGATGCAAAATGCTTTGTCAAACAGCAAGGTAAAATTCTCTTTAGTTTTGGACTTTTTTCAGTTGTTTTAAAGCTTCTTGTGAAATTGTAGCTAGAAAAATGGGCTGAACCAGTGAGAGATTATGAGTCCTTAAGTCAAGCACTACCTTGTGACATTGCTAAATCTTTGTTTCAAGCTCAAGTTGCATTGAGGCTTCTTCGCGATGATGTTGAGGAAGTTTCCTTGTTTTGAAGAGTTTAAAAATTGCATCGGTCTGTCTCAAAAAGTTCTCTCTTAAACTTGTTTGCTCTTAACAGTCAAAAGAAATATTTCTTATTAACTTATTGTATACCTCAATGGCTGAGTAGATGAATAGTAGAAACTTATTGAAGAGTTCAATAAGGGGTTGTTATTAAATAAATTGCTTTTTTTGGTGTTGATGATGATATGAAAATGTTGATTCTGTTTTGGGTCGGTGAATTTATATCTACCAAGTATTTCATGGCCATAAGAATAGTGTCTGAGATAATATAAAAAAAAGAGAAGATAATGGCATATGATCTTCATGTTTTACGAAAGAGTCTCTAGATTATACAATAAGTCCGCTCGAGAGATTGTAGTGATAAAACTACAAGAGTAATTAAAAATTATGTCACCATATTCTAGTAAATTATAAATACCTTTCTTCCTAAACGCCTAAAATTGAAAAATATATTTAAGTTGAAAACCTAGCATTTTCTTTCTTCTCTCAACTTTCTCCATGGACGAATCCGCCATTAAAGTAATCTACTTCTTCTCTCCTTATGGCTTTCTTCTTTAAGCTTTGTTTCTTAATGGTTTCTTCACAAAAAGTTAAGTATTCGAAGTCGTAAAAATCTGATTAGATCTTTCACACCTTAGGGGGTGAAATCGCTCGAATTAAACAATAGTGAATCTAGTGATGCACCCATTCGAAAAAGCCGGTAAATTTTGATATTTTTGTTTTGTTTTTGGAGATTTTGTATCTGTAAGATGTGTTCTTCTTGTCATGTGTTGATAACACTATCTTTTGCAATCAAATTATTATATAGGATCTTTCCACCAAAAAACATTGATACTGAAATATTTCCCGCTAGGAGTCCACCCAAATTCGAAGAACGCAAGTAAATAGATTTTTTTTTTGTGGAGATTAGTATCTGTAAGATGTGTTTTTTGCATGTTTGATACAAATTATTATAAGGATGACTGTTACGGGATATGACACTTCGCTTTCTAAGGATGTTGTCAAGAGCGCACTGATTAAACATTTCTCTTCATGTGGAGAGATCACTGATACTACTGTTCCCGGAGACTTTCAAACCGGTGGTCTCTACGAGTCTGTGGCTTCTTCCTCCAATTTGTGACAAGCAGTTTTCCCAACTTATCTCAAGTTCTGAAAATGCTAATTACTCAAAACTTGTTTTTGGTTGATTTTTACAGGATATCTCTCGTTTTTATTTGTGGAAAAGGCGTAGTAGAGAAGGCGCAGAAGCTTAATGGTGGATGTGAATGTGATGTGGAAGGATGTAAGACCGTTGTTGATAAGGTTATGCCGCGAGACGATGACCCAATTATAGAGCCCCTTAACTGTGGCGGCCTTAATCTCCCAGGTACATATATATTTGCTCTTGATTCTCGATTCTTGGTAACAAAAAAGTAATACCTAGCTCGTCTCATTAACTCGTGGTTTGTTTTAGCTCGGTTTACTCCAAAGGCTAAGATGACTAAGGGGTAGAAAACCCTCTCTC